TCCAATAAATCATCCAAAATTTATTTCTTTTTCTGATTTTTTCCCCTGACAGATCATTCGTTCTTGACTTTTCCTCCATCCATAATAACATCTGCAGCAGTGGCTGCATCACGCCTGCGTCTTCACCTCTGCCCTTCCTGGACACCACTATTAATCAAGGTTACATCCTATACATGGGAACAAATTGCACCTTGTGTGAACATCATGTTGAGGTATGAGAAGTTCAATTTGTTGCCAGTCTCAGATATTAAATGCGTCTAGATGACTTGAACATCTGTAGCATAAAACCGGTCAATCAAAGACTAACTCACCAATAGTTGAAGAAATAGTAAGCTGAAAAGCTTTAAAAAATTCCCTTGGATGTGCTAGTCATTGCTCACTCATTGATGCACTCAAGGAACACAAAATAGCTGATTCCTTGATCATTTGTAATATATAGGTTGTATTAAAACTCCTAGTACATGCTATAGGTAATTGGTTTTCCATAGTCATTTTTTCATCAACTGAGATGGTCCTCTTCTTCTACCTCATTATATATAAAGAATATAATAATATTTCATGAAGATTTGCAAAATGATGGTTAATCAGAACATTATGACTCACCTTATTGCTTTATTTTATTTCCCTAAGGGCGCATGATGCGGATGAAAAAGCCATGTCAGAACAGAAGGCAGCAAATCCCAAAGGATAGATAAAATAAAACATTGATAAAAATCAAAAACTCTAAACATTTTACCTCATTATTCAGACAATGGAATGAGCAGACAGCTCATGAGGAGATCTTCCCAAAGAGCCCAAAACTTCTACTGTATGATGCTCATTCATGATGCATCTTTTTCCCTATAAAAAATTATTGTCCTAATACTTTAAATTCTCCATTCATGATGAAACATAATATGAGTTTATTAGGCCATCAACCAGTAATTAAAATGTAAAAAAAGTTGTAATACTCTTTTAATACTACCTTAAGTTTGCATCAATGCTATCACTACATTGTGTGTAATTAATCATTACCTCATGGTGTATACAACGAAAGTTTGAACAAAAACTGCCATAGTTAGTCGAGAGGTTCGGGTTGCACATTGGCCACGTCATCATATTGTTTCCTAAGACAAGAAACTGCTCCACAATGGGGGACTATACTGCTAGAGTGACTGACGTAGGGTTGGTAGGTGTACACCCGGAACCAGTGCCTTGTGAGGATCATGCTCTGATGAGTCCTCCGCATACTTGCTTGTAACATACATGTAGCATGAATTTGGATAGCTAAAATTCGGTTGGATACCATCCATTAGCCTGACTACCATGAGAGTAGGGTTTAATGCAACCTCGTCCCCAGGGCTTTTCCCACAAAAAATGGGTGGGGCGAAAAGCCCTGGGGACGAGGTTGGGTTTAATGTAGGCATGTCCCGCTTACCTCTGGTAACCGTACAAGTTAATGTTACTAAAAACAAATGACATAAGTGATTATAACAAATATTACTCGGCTAGAAAAGGTACTCCTTAGCTCAGTCGTTACCGAAAGACCTGATGATTCCAGACCAGTTAGACACGATGAACCCAGCAATAAAAAAGAATAGTCACAACGAAACGCACGTTATTGTAATTCTCCTACCAAGATCTCCTCTTCGACAAAGCGGAGATTTTGGCACGTTATTGTGCATAGTCATTCACCTAATATCCTCGAACTATTTTTTCTCTACTCTACAATCAAGACCAAACGTCGCGAATACGTATTTTTTCCCCTATAATTGCGCAACGCAAGCAAAAAAGTACGTAGTTTTCTTTCACAAAACTTCCAACATGCACAGTGGAACATTATTTCCTGGACGTTTTCACGTGTCGTTAATACTTGACAGCAGCCCTTTGAAGTGGAAAAAGATTCAGTGCTTCTAGGATTCCAGTTTGACTGGGGAAGGGGGTGTCGGTTTTGGTTCAAATAATTGCAAGGTTCGAGATATTGTAAAATTCCAAAATGCCTTCACTTCTAGTGCAACTAATGTTGCCTCAACGTTCCCCAACGCAGATGTTTTTGGCAGTCAGCCAGCCTCGTTCTCTAAGACTTGCACCCCTGATGCCAAGATCGAGAGAAGCCCCATGAACTGCCCCGTACCCAGACGTCTCTTTCTCGTTGAAAATGTGCGCGCAAAGGAAGGCGGGAAGGAGACAACGGGCTTTGCCTGCTGTCCGTTGCCTTCCCATTGTCCCCTGCGGTTCATCACCAATCGAGCGCCTGAGGAGGAGGCTGCCCNTCGACAAAGCGGAGATTTTGGCACGTTATTGTGCATAGTCATTCACCTAATATCCTCGAACTATTTTTTCTCTACTCTACAATCAAGACCAAACGTCGCGAATACGTATTTTTTCCCCTATAATTGCGCAACGCAAGCAAAAAAGTACGTAGTTTTCTTTCACAAAACTTCCAACATGCACAGTGGAACATTATTTCCTGGACGTTTTCACGTGTCGTTAATACTTGACAGCAGCCCTTTGAAGTGGAAAAAGATTCAGTGCTTCTAGGATTCCAGTTTGACTGGGGAAGGGGGTGTCGGTTTTGGTTCAAATAATTGCAAGGTTCGAGATATTGTAAAATTCCAAAATGCCTTCACTTCTAGTGCAACTAATGTTGCCTCAACGTTCCCCAACGCAGATGTTTTTGGCAGTCAGCCAGCCTCGTTCTCTAAGACTTGCACCCCTGATGCCAAGATCGAGAGAAGCCCCATGAACTGCCCCGTACCCAGACGTCTCTTTCTCGTTGAAAATGTGCGCGCAAAGGAAGGCGGGAAGGAGACAACGGGCTTTGCCTGCTGTCCGTTGCCTTCCCATTGTCCCCTGCGGTTCATCACCAATCGAGCGCCTGAGGAGGAGGCTGCCCCAGAGAGAGGATTGGTCATCAGTCAAATGCACTTCTGCGTTGGTTCTCTGGCGAGATTGCATGCTTTAGGCCAACAGTTTAAATTTCTTCTTCTCTGCCTCTTACAGCCAGTTATCCACTCTCGTCACCATTCCTAAATCTCACCCACTCCGCCCAAGTCTTGACTTCGTTATAAATTCAGTCTAAATATGAAGCCATGTTATCGGTATAAAGCAGGCCCCGGTTGTTTAAAAGGTGGATAGCGCTATCCTCCGGATAAATCGTTATCCAGTGAACATGTATTAGGCAAACCAATTGCACTATCCGACGGGTAATGCTTTATCCGTTGGATAGCGATAGCCACCTTTTGAACAACTGGAGCCAGGTGTTTTTAATGAAATTGTTCTCTCACCCCGCTATTATGGACTGGCACTATCAAGGACACTAACATTCGGTCCCCACACGAGGTCTCGCAATAACGGCCATTGACTGTTTACAGTAAGTTTTTCTTTATATCGAATCGTTTCAAAAAACATTGTTTAGAAAACATATGGTTTATTCCCACAATTCAAACTCTTAGCTATAAAAAATTGCCGGCGTAAAAACTCGATTTTTTTTATCAGAATAGATCTTCCCTTCAAAGATCAGTTCTCGGCCGCTAAAATGCAGCCCGTAGGCAATTGCGTGATCTCAGCCGCAATAAGATTGCCGTCACTTTACAGCCTATTTTTTGAGCAAAAAATTGGAGCAACACCTTAGGCTGAAAGAAATTAAGCCGAGTATTTAAGTCAGCATTGCGTTGTTTAAAAATTTGCATGTGATCTGTGCGATGCGGATTGTGTTGGCTACACAGCCCGACACCTTCACCAACGCATTGCTGAACACAAATACTCGGCTATCGGTAAACATTTCCTAGAAGCTCACGATGACAAAAATCTACTTAATGAGGGTCAATGTTGCGTTCTTAAGAAGTGCCACGGATAATTTGACTGCCTCCTTCACGAAATGTTATTTATCAAAGAACTTAGGCCTAGCCTTAACACCCAGAGTAACTCTATCAGTGCTAAACTCTATTTTTAATTTGTAACATATTTTTATGTTACTTTAATTACCTATTGTTTTTTCTTGTATCTATAGAACATTCATACAGTTTTTTACTTGATAATGACGTCAGAGAAGGTCGAAACGTCGTATACTTTTGAACTTTTATGAAATATCTTCAACTGTTTTCAAGAAAAGATTCCAATTTCAACAGCTCATATGGATTCAGCCCGGCCTATTATTTCTATCAAAAACGAAAAGTCTTTTTGGGTTTCCACATTTGGATGTGGTTGGGATGGGTGCAATCGCCAAATGGCGTACCCTAAATCCTCTATTAAGCCCCCACGGGGTACTTATTTATTTCAACCACATTTGAGTGGGGGCTTAATAGAGACAGGAGCTTATTTGAGAGGGAGGCTTATTTAATATTTTAGCAAAGACGATGGTATCAGTTCTCCATAAAGAACTAGAATAAAAAGTGGAAAAGCTCAAGTACAAGAAGTTGGAGGTCATGCAGCCGAGGATCAATAACAAATCCGAACTGCCAGATGGTGAATAAACCATCCTGGATCAGTCCACATGAAGTTTTACAGTCGTGATTAATACAGTGAAGTGAAGAATAATAAGGGTGAGAGGTGGGGGGGGGGGGGGG